TAGACTCTGCTACCGCCATGCACACATCAAGCATCCTGGGCGGTATCCCTACGGGTCCTTGGTCATTTCATGACCAATGCCTCTTTTAGGCCGTCACGCCTGGGGTCAAGTGGGAAATACAATCAAACGAGTCAGCCGTCTCCAAAATAGCGAAAACTGTGTCTTGAGCCGCGCCACCCCACAACTTCTATCTGCGTAAAAGCAGGACTTCGGTTCGTCTGGCTCCTCGCCTTGTCGTAGCCGCGCCGGACTGGTCGCTTGCCGGCGGGCCGTGAGCAGTGGACTGCTCTGTACGTCCACACCACAAGAGACTGTCATCTGCCGGCGGGTCGCGGGCGTCCGCGCCGCCATCGCGCACCGCCGGGTGCTGCCCTCTACCGCGATTTCCCATGTCGGCTGACAGATGGCGTCCGTGTCTCCTTACGGAACGCCGTCCTGGGCGGCGTCGCGCGAGTACATTCCCCTGTCTCGCAGAACTGCGGGAGACCCCTCGAGATGCGGCGGGCTCGGCGCACCTCACCGCTATGCCTCAAACACCCCGCCAGGCGGTCTCTCTTCGACTTCTAGCCAACATCGCCGGATCATGTCCGGTTCGGAAAATTCGACGCCGTTCTCCCCTACACTGAACCTCCGGCGTCCGTATCGGATCAATCTCGGACGAGATGGGCCTTTGCTGACCAAACATGAATCCCGTCCATCATTTGGCCAGAGAGCGATCCAGGCCTAGCGAACGGAGAGGAAGATAAAAGCTGGGCAATACACGCGCCGCTGAGGGAATCAGTGTAGCGCATGCGCTGAGCGGAGCTGGACCGCACTAACCTGTTTAACAGCGAGGGTGGACAGAAAGAAAAGAAAACATGTGTTAGGAGGAGGACAACGATAAAAAACAAAGCAGAACACTCACAAAAACACGGCAATCGACCTCACCCACGCGAGGGTACCTCACTGGCCCAGCTGACCTATCTGGCGGACGAAGGAGGTGGAGCGGCGAAGTGGTGATCAGGCGAAGGAGGTGGAGCAGCATGCACATAACGAAGCGTGAGCGGGCGCACCGGGTGGAGCTTGGTAAGAGCTTGGGTGTCCCGCGACGAATCAAGGGGAGAGATGGAAAACGAGTGACCAACTGAGCGGGAAGCGAGCCAGGCATACACGGGCATCCGGCAAGACCATCCCGTCCGTCAACCCGGCAAGGGCGACCAAGTGGAGGACAAAAGGGCAGCGCGATTGTGAGCGGATCGCGCATGCGCACTGTCCATGCTCAGGCGGGAATTCGGTGCCTAAAAAAACAAAACAAAAACAAAACAAAACATTCACAAAAACGCACCGACACCAGCGACAACGGGAGCGGAATACCAACGTCCCGTTGGCCGGGAAAACAAACCTTGGTCTGTGCGGATGTCCCATGAAACTGTGCAGTCTACCGACCTAGGCAACGTGATCAACAACCAATGGGGAGAAGGCAGCGTCGTCATCAGAGAAGCCGAGCATGCGCACTGGATCTAACCCGTTAGGGTCCGGCCACCTTGAACTATTGACGAAACAACGAATGGAGCAATATAAGGCGAACTGTCTACCTGACCCACGTTCTACCACAACTGCACGCCGACGCGGCCCGTACGCCGCGTCTGGCCGCGACAACGGCCAGGCGAGGGCCCAGACAAGCCGATGCGACTCTGCATGGCCTCATCCACCGGCAAACTCCGGACTCCTACGGGTCGTGTCAACGAGCGGAGCGAGAGTCTGCGCCCAAGCATACATCCAGGGCTCCGGACACAGCACCGCCCAACGCTGGGCCGAGTGTCCTCTCGCCGTCCGAACCAACCTCATCCAGCCTCGCTCCCTCACTAAGCCATCGCAATGCAAACCGTCATCTGTATTCACACATAAAGACAACGAGGCAAAACAACATCACTCACACGATGCGACACACCAGTCCATCGCTTCAGGGCGAGCTCAGTGTCGAGCCGCGTGGGACCTTACACACTCACACCCGAGCCCCTCCCCCCTTTCCTCAGCTCCGCGGAGGGATCCGGGAACCGCGGCCTACGCCCCCCGATGGGGAGCGGGGTGAAAAGACACACTCGGTGCACCAGCCGTCCATGGCCCGGTGAAATGGAAGGGGGGGGGGGGGGGCAACAACCTGGGCACTGACATCGTGTGCGCTGTCGTCGGTGACCGTCGTACGCCGTGTCGAATGTCACAGCCGGGTGCTGTGAGTTTGGGCCTCGGAGGGTCGACCTCAAGGTGCAGCTGTAGGCGTCGGGCGCACTCACCGGCACTGTACTCTCCCTCCAGAGCCTCTCGCACGATATTTTATTGACCTTCGACACCTCCCAACTGGGTCGGCCTGCCTTCGTCGTCTTGCGTGATACAATGGGTTTGCCGGCTCGCCCCCTCCGTCCAATGCGTCGTCGGGGCCGGCATGCACCGCTCCCAGAGTCCGGCCCTTCGACGTGCCCCTAGGCCAGATCTCGGGCGTGGCGTCGCTGGCGACGACGCAAGGCCCGCCCGCCCTTGCCTCAGGCCTCGCTGTTGGGTTACATAGGGAATGTTCTACATGTTTTCTGGTTCTGTCTGGGTCGTTGGCATTCTGGGCCGGCCCGAGTGCACGCATGCAGCCTGGCAGGCAATTCACAATACATCAAGTCATCACCAACCTATCTGTACCGTCTAACGAAACATTGTCTGTGCCCGCTATCCGCCTATTGCTATTGGGTGATCAGTATGTGTGACAATGTCGTAATGCAACCGCGCGACCCATCCATTACCGGTTTCATCCGATTCATCCATAAATGTTCCCATGTGGAGAGATGTGTGGCAGTGAGCACAAACGCAACTGATAAGTTTAGCCAGTTGTGGTCAGTTACTCTAGAAAGACTCTAAATGCACCACACTGAAGCCTATGTCAGCGGAGTGTACTGCCGTCGCGTGGTAGCCTCTGAAGCATGGGGCACCGTCACTGTATGTGACCCCCGTGTGTGTATATAAATAAACCACCGGTGGAATCCAGACAAGTGAAAAATAGTCATCAGTGAGCTCGCTTCGTCATATCTGATGCCTGCCTTAATATGTTCAAAGGTGACACGCTTACAAAAAAAACACTGAAACTTGTCATCTGACGGTGACCTTTTGCTCGATTTCTTTTTGCACAATTGCACATCCACTGACGAATGCTAAGTCTATAAAACATTTAGATTTATTAAGCAGCACCATATCATACATGAACACCACGAGCAGACCATTTCAGCGGCGAAGATGACAGCAGGAGGGCTGCTAGACAAAGCTGCGGAAAACACGGCTCTGACGTCACACTTCTCCCGGTTCAAAACCTAGCCCAGTAAGCTTGGCTAACGCGGCGTCACACCATTTCACGCGGCGTCAGTGCTAGCTCGGTAAGCTTGGCTAGCGCGCCGTCACACCATCTCACCTGATGCCATCTCACCTCAGTGCTAGCTCGGTAAGCTTGACTAGCGAGAGTCATATCACTTCGTCCGGCGCCAGTGCTAGTACAGAAAGCTTGGCTAGTGCGCCGTCACACCAGATCACCCGGCGGCATGTCGGTCATCAGGTGATCCGACGTTCGGTCCCGGGGCTTCGGCCTCATCTGGCCGGCGTCGGCAGGACAGCTGATCATTACGTCGTCCTTTGTACTAAATACGCCATGCCTAGTACTATATATATCGTCCTTGGTACAGTTTACGGCACACGTCGTTTCGTTACCGTTCATCCCTTGCACGCACTTGCTGTCTTTGTGGGCTAACGTTCGAGGGGGCAGGCTGGAACCAAGCAAGCCGTTTTCCCAAGCATTTGGTGACCAATACGTACATGAACCAGAGTTGGAATTTTAACCAGACCATTAGACCACTGAGACAATCGAGAGTGAGAGGGAAAACTTAAGATGCTAGAAATGGAATTAATTTGTTGCCACCGACAGGTACCTGCTGAAGAAGCGCTGTGACGTCTCGGCCAAGGTCAAGGGCAACAAGCAGACAGCTTTGACCTTAGCCTGTTTCAAGGGCCACGACGAGGTGGTTGGTCTTCTGCTCCAGCATGGGGCCAACCCCGAACACGTCGCCAAGTTTGGAACTTGTCAGGTGATAAACGGCCGCTCTAGCCGGCCTGTGCGATGAAGTCAGTTGTCAGCTGTTCATTAGGCCAAAAAAGATGCTGTCGTTTTCATGGCGCGTCTGCCAAAAGGTGGTCAGAACCGCAGACCTATTTTCCGAGACCACGGCCCTGCACTGTCAAGTCTACAGACCCGTGTTCTGAGACCACACCTTGCACTGACATGTCTGCAGACCAATGTTCCGAGACCACGTCCTGCACTGACGTGTCTGCAGCTTGATCCGACAATGACATGATGACATGACCTGTCTGCAGTCTGACCCGATGATGGCATGACCTGCCTGTTGTCTAAGCCGACAATCGTATGATCTGGCTGCGGTTTGATCCGACAATCACATGAAATGTTTGCGATCTGACACGCAATTTCTGCAGGCGGGATCGATATGTTTTCCGTTGGACTCTAGTTTTTAGGCCTGGTAGGACATATTCAGTCTGGTCTGTCGAGTCCGCAAGTTCAATGAATTTTTGCAGTCTGGTTTGAGATGCTGGCCGACCGGATTGATGTACGCATTATCCTACGCGTCATGATCACCTTTTATGATGGCATGGCTACAGTCTGTACCGAGATCGGTCTATACATCGGTCCAGTCTAACGGCACGAGTTCGCAGTCTAAAGAGGTGCGGTTTCAGTCGGAACTTTCACGTCTAAGGGCTGAACTGGCATACCAACAGTGGCATACCGTGTCCACCGCTGGTCAGCCTCGTCCACAGTCTGAACCATGCGTACCGATAGCGGCTTATCCGTGTCCACCGCTGGCCAGCCTCGCTACACAGTCTGACCTGTGACGGCCGCAGACGGAGATGACGCCGCTGATGGCGGTCCGCCTACCAAGGCTTCCCGAAGGTGGTGCGGCTGCTGTTGGAGCGGGACGTAGATAGTCAACGCCACGGTGCCCGGCGGCGGCGGCAAGACGGCGCTCATGCTCGCCGCCTGGCGCGGCCACACCACCCTCGTCATGCTGCTCATCGCCAGGTGAGGATCGGTCGGCACGTGAGCGGGGTTACCATGGCGCGGCCTGGGGCGTCGGGCTGGGGTTGTGGTGCGGGTTTGATGTAGCTCGAGTGTGGCTGTGTGCTGCTGAGGCGGTCAGGCGCCAGTGGTGTCTCTGTTTTGGTTCGGGTGCATGGCGCGTGCCGGACGGTGAGCCCTGGGGCCTCCTGTGGGAGGACAGAAACGACGGTTGGTCAGGCCGTGGTGTCATTATCGTTAGCATTGCAATAGCAGTACGGGTGTTGTTGCCTCCTGTCCATTGGATTTGGCGGGATTTTGTGCAAGAGTATGGACCCCCTGAGACCTCAAGTTCTTTCGAGGGTTCTGGAATAGGCAACTATCACCACTGCATGTGTACTTTTTCCACTGTGTGTCAACAATTTGTGAAACCTCTGTGTGTGCTATCACAACCGTAAATGTTACGGGCACGTTTATAATTATGCGTCATACGCACCATTTTAAACACCAGGAGCATTGTACGCGGTCCCAATGCGCCATGTCATTGCTGTACGCATGAGTTACTTGCCCAAAACTAAGCTGAAGAAAATGCTCTTCGAGCAGCCGGTGACCAGCCACAGCAGAACAACCACAACATCTGTCTGTTTCGCCAGAACCCAATTGATATTTACAGAGGGGTGGCAATCGAAGCCCGCAACACGGCGGGCCGCACTGCCCTCTGGTGGGCTCTGGATGCGGGTCACGCCACCACAGCACGCCTGCTGCAGACGTGCGACGCCTCGGTCGACGTGCAGGACACCAGACAGGTCTGTGGCAGGCAGCTCAGGATACGTCGTAGCGACTGCAGTAGGGATGGGTGTGCGTGAGGGGCTTAAGAGTTGACAGGGTCTATGCTAGTCCGAATGGAGCACAGATGAGCTCCCTGTTCTCCTGTTGGGCTGCTATCGACATGGATCTAGTATATCTAAGGCGTCTGTGCCGACCTGCTGTCTTTGTGCCCACCATGTGCTGAGATTTTATGTACAACAGCGGAGCATCCGTCTGTTGGCATTGTCCCTATTTTCCGTGACCGAGTGTCTCGTAGCATATCGTACGCGATCCCATCTGGGCGCCTGCCTATGCCGCTTGTAATCGCACGTCAGCCTGCTGCGTCCCCGTTGTGACAGTCCAAGCTAACCTGAGCTCTTTACGGGGTCAGGTGTCGTGCATCATGGCGGCGTACCGCCGCGGCAACGTGGAGCTGGTGCGCTGGCTGTTGGGGTGTGTGTCGCAGCTGCCGTCTGACGCCGAGCTGAAGCAGTGCCTCCGGTCCCGCTCGAAGAAGGTGAGGGTGTAACGCGGTCTCGGGGCAGTGGTGACGGGACATGAGTGAAGCGACCAGTGGGATGTATAGTGCAACGGCGCTGTAGAAGTGAAAGCGTGAGGAGTTGTCTATTACGGATTTCAGTTGAGTGGTGAATATAGCAAGTTAACATCTACGGCAGCATCTAGAGGTATCGTGCTGCACATGGAATTCGATTATGGAGATCTCTGAAGAAGATATTTTTGACCTCCTGTGATGTCACCGAGCCACATCACTGCCTGATATCTCTCTTCCCCTTTGGTTCAAAGCGCCGCGACTGAGGCTGTGCAGTGGGCTGGCTGTGGTCAGTGCGTCATCGCCGAAGGGGTATCTCGTCGGGACTCATTCCCAGATCGGCCCAGGCCCACCGCCGTCTTTTTGCCTGTCATGCCACCTCCAGGACGATAATGGTTTAGTTCGTCGCCCTGCCACTAGGGGCGTGACACTAATCCCTCTTCTCTCGCCCGCAGCATTCGCTGGCCCTTCGTGGGTCCCTGTTACCTCTGGGGACCCTTTTTAAACGCCGCGCACAGTGCCTGTACTTCATCCGAGCCGAGAGGAAGCAGCGGGGGTACTGAGCGGGCAGGAAGGGCGAATCCTTCCTCGAAGAGCTGGCTCCTGATGTCGTCGAGGAGAAGTGGAAGAAACCAGCCACCAAAGACAAGGTGCATTGGCGTGTACCTTCCTCACTCATATTGTCCATACTAATGTGCCAACGTGACCGACATGTCACCGGGTGAGGATGATGTGACGGCGCGCTAGCCAAGCTTACTGGGCTGGCAGCTAGCGCCGGGTGAGGTGATTTGACGGTCGCTAGTCAACCTTACTAAGCTAGCACTGACGCCGCGTGAGATGATGTGACTGGCGCGCTAGCCAAGCTTACTGAGCTGGCACTGACGCCGGGGGAAGTGTGACGTCAGAGCCGTGTTCTCCGCAGCCGTGTCTGGCGGCCCTCGTGTTGTCATATTCGCCACAGAAATGGTCTGCTTGGGGTGTTCATGTACTGTATGGTGCTGTTAAGTAAATACAGATTCCTCATAAACATTGCGTTTGTCAGTGGACGTGCAATTGAGCAAGGAGCATCTGAGAAAATTTGGCTTGGATGTCAAACACAAATGATATCTGAGTAAACTAAAAACACCAAGTTCACAGGGTATGTCGACCTCTAGGACTAGACCTCACTTGTGTCATTTCAAGCTCCATAGGTTGCGACCTTCGGGTCAAATGAGATAAACTGAAGTCACCCCACATGGGTAATGCAGTGCTTTCATATCTCTTTAAGCAAGCTGCTTTAACCTAATAAGAACCCCTCATGGGCAAAATGTCACCTGTTATTTCAGTCATCTTATTTGCTTTTGGAACATAGAAGGGAGCTTTGCGATTGTTTTGATGTTTCAGTTTGCATTCGGCGACAAGTAATACCGTAGGTGACATGCTCCTTAGAACAAAACCTTGATCGCGGTCACATTTCCCTGACCTTTATGAAGTCAAAATAAGAAATATCTTGACTTTGTTGTAAACCAGGAATTTGAAATGAGCGTCCAAACTATCTCATGAACCATTCGGTCATAAAATGCTTTATATTTTACCTTGATATAACCTACATATATAACCTAATGTCCAAGAATTAGGCATAATCCTGTCAATGGTGCAATTGTCTAAAAAGCCATCTCGAAGTTGGTGGATACCGTGTAACACTATGTTGTCACACGTTGAATGGTTCCCTTAAAAGATTTCTTCGGTGACAACCATGGGCTGGCTTTGACCTACCAAAGGTCAGCAACCTTACAAGCCATGTATGATTTGTGCATGTCAAAGGCTTGGCCTTTCAATTGTTTAGATTTATACCAAGTTTTGAAAGGCTGTGCCACGCTTTTTGCAAGTTATTTTGGAAAAGCTTCGGGGGCTCAAACTCACCCTACCCAACCGATCTGGCGTTAATATCAAACAAAAGATGTGATCATATATAGAGCAAAAGATCACCGTTAGATGACAAATTTCACTGGTTTTTAACCAATATGCAGCTCCTTTTTGGTCATAAAAAATATTTGACCTAACTTGACCTGTTGGATGCTTGGGTCAGTTGGAACTGAAGGCTTTGAAGCTGGTGCCATGACTGGCCGTGCTGTTACAGCGTGGATTTCCAGGCTGCTTGCTTCATGGATAATGGTGCAAGCCCATACATGCAACGTGGTAAGTTAAATCACAATTTTCGTACAATTTCGAACTTTGCACGCAAACACGAGCCGATGGCACATAAAACGGAGCAATTCCGTGCGCAGTTCTAGTTCAAAGTTTGGTGACCTCTGGAAGGATGGACTTGTGATCGATTAGCCCAGCAGGTGCGGCGTCCGTGACCAGCCGGTCGGTGGCGTTAACACGCGCCCAGGTGGCCGACTGAATGCCCTTCGCTCGGGTGGGGGTTCAATTTGACCCCTCCCCCCAAGGTCTCGAAATTAAGATAGCTCAAGACCAAATTACCATGGTAAATTGAGCTGACGTGAGATTACTCGTGTTAAAATTTAATATTTCTAGATTATGAACTTGATGGTCATGACCAGGTCATGGTCATAACCTGGTCTGATCATGACCTAGGTCATGACCAGATTGGTGTCTCAAGTGCCAAAGACCTCCTCACGCAACCGCCGTGAAGCTAGATATCCTCCTCTAAGCAAAAGATAAATCAGGTCAGTGACCTTTTTTACCTTAGTAGGTCAAGGCTAACAACTGATCTACAAGATTGCTGCTATTTTGTCATTCGAATAAGCGCCAGGGATTATGCTAAGTGGTATGTTCCTAAGCACAAAGTGTTGACCTGGTTCAGCGATCTTTTAAGGTACATCTAATTTGTTTGCATCAAACGATCCGCTATTCAATTCTCAGTCCTGGAAAAACCTTCAGGAATCAATCCGACCCCCATCCGAGCGCGTGATAATGAATCCAGCCCAACTCGGATCAAAATATCTGTACGCATGAACGGACGCGAAATATATCATTTATGAAGCGCTTGTACGAAAATACAGCATCATGAACTCTTCGTTGATCGCCTTTAAGCGCCGTTATCGCATCATTCTCACCCAGCACAGGCGTCCAGAGCGTGCGCCGGCTGCTTTGTATGAAGTCTGGCGAGCAAGACATAGCGCCAACTGTCTTTTGTCTGGAGCTCGAAACGTCGAGACGGTGCATCGTCGGCGATGCGGATGTTGTTGTGTGAAGGCTATCTTCCGCTGTAGGGTAAAGCTGTAAGAAGGAAGTCTCCTCGAGCTTTTGTGGCGGTGTCCTAAGTACCGGCTAAACTAGTGATGGCGAAGCGTTGGCTAGTAAAAATACGGTTCGTCGCCAAAGGCAGTCATACACATCCTAAAACACCATACTTTATTTCATGTTTGCAAGGACAAAACACACCAGCTGCGAACATGACCTGCATCTAAGGTCTAATGAGGCCATTCAGGTTCAGTGAACCGATCGCCTTCTATTCATTTGAAGAAACGCATTGCTCCTCCAGATGTCGCTGCTTGCGGTGGCCTTGACTCCTGACCATTGACTTGTTCTTCGGTCGCCAGGCGAGAACTCCGCGAGCAAGCCCGGAACGGGTTCCTCAGTGCTCAGCGTGCCTTGCATATCTCTGGCGAGAGCACAGCTCACGCTGGCCGCCCACCGCCGGCCTCCTCCGGCGCTATTTTCGGCAGCGCCTCAGCGTCGGCTGAACTTCTCCACCACCTCCTCGTGCATCTGGAGCGTCTCCTGCGGGCGCCGCCGTGGCGGTGGCGTCGGCGGCCTCTTGCTGCGGTCGTGCTGCTTGATGACCACCTCCGTCTCCAGCAGCTGCGGCCGGCGGTGATGGCGGCGCCGGTGCCGCTCGCCCCATTTCCTGAACATGAAGCGCACCGACTTCTGGCTCCAGAGCGCCTCGATGCAGGCGAACACCTCGGACACGGAGATAAACTGCGCCACGATCGTGTCGAGGCCGCCGCACACCTGGCACTGGCCCACCATGCTGCCGACCGCGCTGCCGCCGTGGCGGGTGGCCAGGCTGAACGGGCCTGCCCGCGTCACCGACGAGCCCTGCAGCACGGTCCGGTTGGTGAGCGACGCCGGGATGCCCGACGTACCGGCCGGCGGCGGCGGGAAGTGGGGGCTGCTCGACCTGCGACACGACGTCGAGCAGGGTCCCGCGCGGCAGCCGGCGCCGGCGTCGGTGCCGCCGCTGCCGCCGCCGGCGCCGGTCGGTGTGGCGCCGCCGTCGCCGCCGCCGCCGCGCATTGTCGTCGTCCTGTGGCGTCATGTCGACCGACACCTGGCTCAGGTAGCCGGTCAGCAGGGTCTTGTCGCTGGAGGGGAAGCCGAGCGTCATCAGCAGCGAGCCCTCGTCGTTGATCCACACCCCGGAGAGATCACACCAGTGGCGCAGCTTCTTTTTCGGCTGTTTGTTTTGGTTCGCTGCGAGGAAAAAACACATAAGCCGGTTACCTTTGCTTCAGTTGACTGATGTACCTGCTCTGGCACTGGTTTTTAGCATTCTTGATTGAATTGGTCACGTTCAATGCAATGGCTTGGAGAATGGAATGTACACGCTTCTTGAACAAGTGGAAAAAAAGAGCCAAATAGTCGTGCGCAGAATGTGGCCAAAGCAGTTTTAGGGGTGTTTCACGCTACCGCCATGCCATAGAAAATACGATGAAATATTGATAAAAATCAACATTTTGTAAAAAGTTTTCGGCTCTTCGCGCGAGCATTAACCTTATAATTTTTCGGTTAAATGTGATTCATATTAAGCATAATAATTGAATCAGCAAATAAATTCAGGCGGTGCGAGAGAGGGGGCGGGGGAAGGGCGCCAGGCTGGAGAGCTTTAGCATAGAAAAGAGCGATGCGAAAGGTGCTCATGAGCTTTTTCTGGCTCGTGCGTGCGCCTTGTGTTTCAAGACATGCGCACAAGCAATCTTAAATCGCAAGGATAGACCCCCGGCATTGCAGTCTCCGCTTGCTTGACACGTCGGCCACGGCAGGCTAACAGCTGACACTCCGCACATGGACATTGTAAATGGCCTCATTTTGGTCGCTACGACACGCCCAAGGGACCATGCGTACGTTGCCCTCGGTTTTGGCACAGTGACGTCACCACAAAGAGCCCAATGTGTGAGCAAAATAACATAGATGGTTCTTCAATAATGTGCTTTGCCGAGAAGGTAGCCGTGGCTTTGGGAAATAATTTGAACTTGTAATCTAGCAGTGCTAGGTATATTCGGTCACGGCAAGCATGTGCATTGCTTAAGGCATTGGCTGCCGTCTTATCGGCACAAACAATAAAAAGCTAGCAACTGTACAGAAATGATAGACATCACACGGCGCAACGGTGCTGTGGCTTCGTGTAGCGCTAGGACCTACGTGGCTGAAACATCCGTAGGCAAAGCTGTTTGTCTGGAAGAAACCACACTCTGCGCAATGTCCACCCGCATTTGCCGTTGGTGTCCGCCCACCATCTCTCCCACGCATCACCCTCTGCGCGCCTGCCTGGCCGCTCGGCCGGCCGCCGGCCTCACTGTGCTGGATGTTGACGGTGACCTCGCCGACGGCG